TGTCTTCAGGATGAGGGAGAAAAAAAGGCTGAGGCAGTGGCTACAGTGGTGGCCGCTGTTGACCTTGCTCGTGTCCTCAAGCCTGTGCATGGGGAGGGTGGTCGGAAAGAGGAAGAGGAGGATGTGGAGTTGAGGATAAAGCAACAGGCGGCAGCGACTGCAGAGAAACAAGTTATTGCAACAAAAACACTTCCTACTGAGCCTGCTGTGTCTGCAGAGCAGCACAGAGTCCAGGTCTCTCAGGTCGGACGAGTTCCCTGACTTCAGTTACTTACGTCTCATTTTAATGATGCGGAGCATCAACTATCCTAACGCACTCTGTTGATTACTCCAGATTCAGAGAACAACAGAAATCTTCTCCTGTGTGGACACTGGTGTCGTCCAGCCCCCAGGTCCACATTTCACAGTTTCTAAAGTTTCTGTTCCTAAACATGAACCTAGACATGAGGTAAGAAGAACAGCTTGAGGCCATCGTCGTCCCAAAACCTTCATTTGAATGTGAACATCTTAACAGTTTTCCTTCAGTCTAATCCTTGATCCCGTCCTCACAGTATCATCCATCCTACCACAGCGTTTGTTTCTTTTGAGGACTACCCCATCATAACATCCACTAGCTATAGTTTGTGGTTATTATATAACAGTAACACTGATCACATTGTTCTTTTTTTCTTAGATATGACTTTGTGTTTTGGTTCAGAGTAGAAGTCTGTAGAACAGATGAAGCAGTCACCTCGTGGAAAAACCATCTAAATCAGCTGTCATCAGAATTTGGACTCACTATCTGTGTGTGATGGTTAACGCTGTTCTCATTGGCCGATCAGGTGTCCCTTGCTGGCTCTGCCATCGCTACGCTGCACAAAGAGCTATCCTCCCCTTCAACCCCCAGAAAGATCATCAAGCCAGTCAAATCTCCCAGTCCGTCTCGACAGGCGGCGGTGGAGGTTCATGTGATACCTGAGCCCTTCCCATCACCGTTCAGAGATGTGCGATATAAGACTCAACTTGACAGCAGAGGCGCTTATGCGTTTAGTGAGGAAGAATTTGAGGAATGGGAGCCTCAGGTTGGTCTGATGTCCTCACTGCTATCCTATCGTTCCTCAACTTAATCCTGTGTGGATGTTCACCTGAGTTCTTCTACCTGTCTTAACGCAGCAGCAACTGATACGCTGCCTTTCACCTGCCTCGTGAAGAATCCTCCTCCTCTTATTCCTGTCTTTGCTGCTTCACCTTCATCCCTCTGTCCTCTTTATATGTTTTTTGTCTACTCTAACCTGTTTTCTCCCTTTATTCTAACAGAACCCCATACTTTGTTTTTTGGGGGACAATTTTTAAGTTGTCTTGTTGGTTTCTGCAGGAGGTGGCTGCAGTGCCTACAAGATTCCAGGAGCCTGTTGTTCCACCCACTCTTATTGCTGTGAGTATTTTCCTATCTGCTTCCTGTTTCCAATTAAATTCTGCTTATTTATAAAGAGCTAGTTGGCAAGAATGTACCTTAAATATCAGAGAGAAAACCTGACCCAGCCCTAACCATACACTTTATCAAAAGGAAAGACCCAATGAGTGTAAGGTAACATGTTTTGTAGTGAAAACTGATCATTTCACTTGTACAAAGTGCTGCCACTGAAGGTAGCAACATTTAAAGCTCTTCCTGTCATAACTTTTCATAATAATACTACATAATTACAGTTTGTGATTCAAACGTATCTATTTTACATTCAATGTAAGGAATAGGGATGGGTATCATTTAGGTTTTATCCGATACCAGTACCAAACCGGTACTTTTGAAACGGTGCCGGTGCTTAAACGGTGCTCAAACCGGTGCTTAAAGAATGGAGAACACAAAATTGGTCCAAAAACCTCTCAT